CGATCGTTGCGACGCTCGCTCTCAGCTAATGAGAGATGGATTTACTACTCATTATCCACTTTCGCCGCTGGCCCGGGGCGCGATGAAGACATAGGGCGCGGGGGCGGCGGGTTGTGGGAGGGGGGCGTAAAGCAGCCGCGGGCGCACAATTTGCCGCTCGCAGCCCGAGTCCTCTCTTTGTGCACTATCCCCAGTAATTGCGGCTTCAGTACACCTTCCACAACCACCACACGACCAACGGTAGTGGATAATTGCGCTATTGTTGCCTGCTCCGTGGCGACCGCCTTACAAATGGCTTTCAAGGAAGTTACTTTACCATCAGCTAAATTAAAGGTTCAATCGAGGAACGACTTTGTTGTTTCGACAATTAACTTATATAAGAAAATTAATAGTTGCATGAAATAATTGAAGCTATAACTCATCGCGTGCGCTCAGCAATCAATCTTGACATTACCTCAAATAGCTATGTACTTAAATTTTCTAGTATATCTTGTGAAAACTGCATTGTAGAAAAGTAGTTAATGTTTTAATGCGTCATCGTTTCCATCATATTTATAGGACTAAAATACGAAAATGTAATCGATCTGCACCAAACATAATATCGGCCACCGAATTTGGGTACGCTCATCGGAATCCCGAGTGCGAAAGCGTCGTCTGTTTATTCGTTTTTGTTCTTTACGGCCAGTATGAGAGTTATGATAAATAGAATTAACTTTTTGGGAGTTTATTCGTATAAATTTCGTAAATGGTCACACTATATATGTTTCACTACATAAGCCGTACAGATATTATCCAAGCTTAGCACCTACCATTACATTTGCAACTACGCATTAGTAGTGTTTTATTCTACTATTACCATCTGATAGTGTGAAAAATAGGGAAATGAAAAACAACATAATTAATCAGTAAACTCGCTTGCCCTTAGATTCAACTCTGAAATTATCACATACTTCAACGGCAAATTTTGAATTCGTTATAACGATCGACAACTCTTTAACTTACACATCAGGATTCGACTCGACAAGCGGGATCGACAACAATACCAATTCACGGTTATGATCCTAATAAATCAATCGTACAACGTTGGGTTTCCGAAACATAATAACTTGGGCCGTCATATTCTTTACTGTTTTGCTGTGTGACTCAATCATTGGTGGAATGAGTGTTGGCAGCGACCGGTGACAATTACGCAGCGCCGGTGCTCATTAGCCGCCGGTGGGGCCGGTTCATGTATCATGTATCGTGCGTCTCGCAACTGGACGGGACAATAAAGCAATCAATCGACACCGCCGCAAACGAGCTGCCGCGACGCCGACCGCCGATATCCGTCCCGCTCAATGACACGTGTGATACACATACTGCGAAACCCTGCACACGTAAAAAAGTATGGACTCCGTATACAAAGGTGACCATAGCTCTGGCCGTGATAGTAAAGCGACGACGTATTGTCCAACTCGTTGCAATCAGTTTCTAAATTAACTTCATACCATGGAGGGTACCGTTCAGTAACAGGTCTTCGTTATATCTGTATTGTTGTAGCGGTTTTTTCTTTTGTTCTGGGGATTTTTCTTTCGTTTGGTGGTCTTTTTCTCTTTTATTTTTTTACATTTATTGGGATATGTTTATATATATATACATTTTGTCATACCTGTCTATTTACATTATTACTTTTCTATTTTTACTTACAATGTACATAATTATCTACTATCAACTTCATATTGAGTGTTATCATGTCTACGTGTCATGGGGATAGGTATTTTAATGTTCTTTTATGTTAAACTAGTTGTTATCTCGCGACTTCGCGCTCGTAAATTATAACCTATGTCAACCCCGTATCATGTATCTATCTACCCATAGATGAAAGATTTTTTCAATTCGGTACAGTAACTTATTTTTTGAGCCAATGCAATTTGAATGCCGATGAAGTTTCAATGCAAACAAACAATCAAATTTTTCCTGTTTATAATATAAGTTTAGAAAGTATAGATTAAAGTTAAGGAACTATCACGTAAGATTGTGTGCCTGGAATTGATTTTGCTTGGCCGTTAAACATCAGCTAGTTACGCTAAGCGATCTCCGTCTGAAGTTAAAGAAAATATGCCGTAAGTACACTGGTATATAGTAGTATGTAATTGCTTTAATAATATTGATCCCTTAGAACGTTCTATTATAGTTCTGAGTGATTAAATTTCTTATTGCTTCATCAACATTCTGCGGTTAAACCATCGTTGGCATCGATGATAAACAAAACCTTCGTTTAACGATAACAAGAGAATACACTAAAGGCATTATATTTATTTCCTTTAATGTTAGCGTAGGTTGAATATGATAGTTCTCGATGACAATAAAGAGGAAAGGATCCAATTTCTCCGATTATTTTGGTGCCAAAGCTAGTCGAACTTATCGCAAATCAGTAGGACTGATTTACAAATTCGGTCACATTACTTACAGACACTATCCGATGGGATAGTTTTCCAATTTACATCAACATACTCCGTTGTAATTTTACTTAAAACAACTTTGAGATATAGCACGTTTGTATGTATACTTAACAGAAATTTCAATATAGCAATTTATATGCACTGCGGATAATCGGAATCGCATCCCTTTTCTTTAAATGCTATCTCCGAATTTTCCTTTTGGTGCGGAAGACGTCGTTACCCTATCCCAATAGGGCATTGTGACCGAGGACGGTGCGCTGTTTTGTGGCGCAATAATTGCACTACGGACGCGGCCACGCCGGGGGCGCGAGCTTGCACCGCGTGATATATGGTACTACAGCTAATAACAGAGCTCGAGTCTCGCGCCGATTATCCCATTACCTGGCGAAGACGAATTCGTATCGATCGTTGCGACGCTCGCTCTCAGCTAATGAGAGATGGATTTACTACTCATTATCCACTTTCGCCGCTGGCCCGGGGCGCGATGAAGACATAGGGCGCGGGGGCGGCGGGTTGTGGGAGGGGGGCGTAAAGCAGCCGCGGGCGCACAATTTGCCGCTCGCAGCCCGAGTCCTCTCTTTGTGCACTATCCCCAGTAATTGCGGCTTCAGTACACCTTCCACAACCACCACACGACCAACGGTAGTGGATAATTGCGCTATTGTTGCCTGCTCCGTGGCGACCGCCTTACAAATGGCTTTCAAGGAAGTTACTTTACCATCAGCTAAATTAAAGGTTCAATCGAGGAACGACTTTGTTGTTTCGACAATTAACTTATATAAGAAAATTAATAGTTGCATGAAATAATTGAAGCTATAACTCATCGCGTGCGCTCAGCAATCAATCTTGACATTACCTCAAATAGCTATGTACTTAAATTTTCTAGTATATCTTGTGAAAACTGCATTGTAGAAAAGTAGTTAATGTTTTAATGCGTCATCGTTTCCATCATATTTATAGGACTAAAATACGAAAATGTAATCGATCTGTTATAAATTTAACCTTAAGACAGTTTTATACCGCTTATTATATTTCCTAAAATGACAAAAGACTACTTGTCTTTCTGACTTCTTAAATCACTGATGGTCCTATTTATTATAAGCATCTTGAGACCCGGGTATAATATAGAACGCATAACACATATTAAGAAACGATAGACCGTATGGCGATGGCTTCAAATCAATTTTTGGCATTCTCTTAGACTTGTTTTACAAAAATTAAATGACTCGCATCAAATGTGAATCGTAGTCACGCATCGAGAATTTCTATGTAGTTTGTACCTATACTCCATTCATTGTAGCATTAGACAGAATGAAAATAAGGTTCTTTTTATGGTATACTTTGTGACAAAATGTCAACAATCATGTTACTCTTAAGACTAACGGCTAATTTGTTACATATCCACTTAAATACCAGCTGCTATGCTTGGCCGTTGTCTTTTAAGCTATATATTTAACAAATTTATGAGTATTTGACTGACTTAAAACATTTAATAATTATTACAATCAAAAGTGTTCATCTTAAAGAACCTAAAGAAGCAGGGTTAGATAGTTTCGGTACGATTCTCATGTCACTATACCACCAATTTAAAACGTTGCCTAACGTTTGAAGGGAACGTTTCGGTAGTACAGCTTTTTAATTTTGTCAGACTATTATTTATTCATAATTGTTAATATCGAAATCTGGGATTGTCATCCATTGTGAATGCTACTCCGCCTTTCTTGTTGTTTTGCCATTTACAGTGATTCAGTAATTACTGTGTTATTATTGTTTTCTTGTAGTTTTGTTTTAGTTGTTATCCTTTTGTTGTTAAGTTTTGCTAAATTTTGATTCCGGTGCAGGCCCGAGTGGCCTACAACAATTAACTTTGACATTTCAGCAATTTTTTCCACTGCTTAATCAATAGTCTAATAATATCTGAATAAAAGTTATAACAGCTATTAATAAAAAATTAATGTTGTTTACCTTTATTTTCTGGGCATAGATATAACTAAATTATATTCTCATTATATACATTTACATTTAGAATCAATCCAAACAACAGATAGATAGTTTTATTTCCATGTTGTCTCTCAATAAAAGATGAATTTAGAAAATGCTAGTCTCATCTCAACCCCGAGTTCAAAATTTCAACAAAACTATTATAAATATTTATTTTCGTAAATAAAATGTTCTGCACTGCTGCTTCTGAGATCCTCTTTTTTCTAATGTTATAATGAATGGAGTATAGTTTATATATCTTGAGATTAATCTCTGATTAGATAATTTCACGGCGTATAAGACTTTTTTACTATTATAAAATATATGATAAATAAATACTTAGTTAAATAATCTCCTCTCTCCCAATTCAATTCGATTTCATCCATAGCTCATGTTCCCCAGCTATGGGGACCTTAATAGATTGGTGATAACACTACTTAATTGCACGGATATATTATAGAAAACAGTTTACAGATAATTTTTCAAAGTTAGCTTAAGCTGTCTTATCGGGATGACAAATATAATACTTCTGGGACGTCATATTTTGTGCGTATACTTAAAATCAACTAATGATTTCAGATGGCTCGGGCGGGGTTCGATGTTTGTGCTGTCGGAGGAGCAGGCACGCACACTCCTGCGGCCCGCCAGGTCTACCAATGAAGGCACCGGCGCCATAGTTGACATAGGGGCGGGCGACGGCGAGGTCAGTCGCAGACTAGCCGGGCTCTACGCTGACAGATACGCCACAGAAATCTCAGCGAGCATGCGAAAAGCACTCGGGAGCAAAGGATACTCGTGAGTTGATAAAGATAAACTTAGTTACTTTACAAAATCATATTAACACCTATTGTAGAATGTTAAGAGCACCTCGCATGCCGGTTTCAACGTGTCGCCACATCTAAGGTCTCTGAAATGAGAATAATGAAGAAAAAACTTTTCTTTATTGTCTGTGGTCTGGGCCTACGTTTTTTTAGAATTCTCCGTTATATGTATAAAGTGTATGTGATGCTGTTTAATATTTATTTATATACCGTTCCAATGCCAAGGTTGATAAGGTAGCCATTTAGTATTTAGTACAATTTGGGATGGCCCAAATTGGCCCTTAAAACATTGGTTGCCCTAATTTTAATTAGTGCCACTATTAGCTATCTCTGTTTCTCGTCTCTGGCCACTTCAACATTGCTAAATATTGTCTCACAATTGCTTCTAATGTAAAGGTGTCCAATATCTATTCAATGGATATAATATAACTTCCTTCATCACAGATTATTAGATACAGACGATTGGTGGCGCGAAAAACAGTTCGATTGCGTCTGCATGATGAACCTCCTCGACCGCTGCAGTAAACCGAAGACTATGCTGAAGCAAGCGAAGACCGCCATAGCGCCGGGTGGAGTGCTCCTACTGGCACTCGTGCTGCCTTATAAACCTTATGTTGAAGGTAATAATATTCATAATAGCAACTGTTAATATTACCTTTTAATGACAGAAATACTTATACGTTTGTATACCCATCGAATTTACCGCCCATTCTGTCTTTCTGTTAACCGCTGCCTTAGTTTTAATCTTCAAGAAAAATATCTAGCTTTTGTACCGATTTAATAATTCCTCTCTAGATATGTATAATAGCATCACGGTATTGTGTAACTGTATTGGTATCCTATTCCAAGAATCCCAAAGCAAACGCTCATCCAATATAAAAAAAAAAACACCTATCGATTAGAATGAGTCATATTTATCGATTACTTAATTTATCGTTTATGGCTATATGCAGTGACACCGGACCATAAACCAGAGGAGCGTCTACCGATCCAGGGGGCCACATTCGAGGAGCAGCTCAGTTCGTTCGCAGCGTTCATGGCGACAGCTGGATTCCAACTGCGCACGTGGTCACGCGTCCCGTACCTATGCGAGGGAGATTTCGCGCAGGCATACTACTGGCTGGACGATTCTGTATATGTGTTCACGCCGACAGCTATCGAAGCTGATGTGTAGATGGAAAGTGCTCTACATTATTTATTTAGTTATGACCTTATCAAAGACAATACCGAAAAGATTATATGTGTTTTTGTTTTAAAAAAAACGACCGTGTGAGTATTTATTAAAACTTTCGTTCAAAATACCAGAATTACGTTATCTCACTTTAAACTGAGGAGTAGGTCGATGGCGTAGTGGTTAGCTCGGTTTGCGATGCGGTTGTTAAGCAACATTCGTAATAGCCTGTCATAGGATAGGTGACAATAAATTTATTTTCTCGAGCTCCGCCCTTCTCCGTGGTCTCGGCTGCATCTGTGGTCGTTACCCACCAATCCGCACAGGGCCACATGGTGGGTCATGATCAGTGGTCGGAATTAGGTAGAGTTATTCATGTACTAACACTGATTTCATACAGCGAAAGAATAAAGTGGATGTGCCTCAAATCCCGAGATTAATTTTAAAGAGCAGAAAAAAATCCCGTGATTTTTTAAATAAAAAGTTATTTACTTTTACACAATTGAAACTACTGCACGCACGACGTTGCCAAACTTACATCAATGAAAGAAAGAAATAAAGAAATCCCGGGAAGGTCCACATTAATATCAACATTTCGATGCAAGTACATAAATAACTCTACCTTATTCCGACCTCTGGTCATGATGTATTCTCCATATTCGACTTGAGTAGATTCTATGCACAGGGAAGGCCTCAGACCCAGCATTGGGACATTAAAAATCTGGTGATGATAATGATAAATCTAAATACAGATATTTCAATATTGTTCCTCCGATACTAGCTGTCTGATTCTCTGCTATTATATCAATATGTCGCGTCATATATTTGTAACTGTCGGATTTAAATTATCTAAAGAATATATACCTTTAAGGACTACTTTGTGTCTGTAATAAATAAAATATAAATATTATTATCATCAATATGAATTTTTAAAAAATAAATTCTTTATGTTTCTTCGTCATTTTTACATTCATTCTAATAAATATTTTTATTAGAAAAAAATATCTTAAGGGAAAAATAGTTTCATTTAGACATCGAAATATATTACTTTTAATTTGTGCATAAAACCGTTGAAAATTGTTCTAAAATATCTCTCACCTAAATAAATAAATATTCGTATAAGACTTGCGACTGTAATTATATGAAGTATATCTATAGTATTATTTTAATCGTTTCTGTTTCTTAATTCTATTATGGTTATCTTTTATTATACTCAATAAATTATATAATTATGCACTAGTCGAGAATTCGGTCTATGAAATTATAAAGCGGTGTCGCCTAAGAAAGCCTACTGTTTTTTAAACAAACTGTTTTTTAAAAAAAGCCCCAGTTATATTTAGTCCCCTCCGCGTGACGCTGAAGGAAGCGGAGTACTTGTTTTCATAAATTTATTCAACACGCGGAGCGGGGCTTGTATAATTTCCATCCTAATTATTTTAGTATAAAGTATAATTTCCATCCAGAGTCATCGGTATTATACCGACTCGCGCGGTACTGACCGGCGGTACTGACAAGTAGAATAAGACTCTAATTCAAACGTATTTATAATTTTTGGGCCTTCTATACGCCACGGATCTAACATTCAGGAAACCGGGGCAAATTATAATAAGTATAATGTTGTGGTTAAATAAAAAAAAAAAACACGCTTTCCAAAAATATATAGTTTTTTAGTTAATTCCTTGTCCTTTACTCTATTATAGCAAAATGTTATCCAGTATGTATGAGATTTTCAAACTTTGTATCTTAAACGGCAGCGTCAGAGGACGCCACTCTTAAATGTATGCCCTAGTAAAGCGGGATATTCACTAGACGGGAATGTACTCCAAATGGCTGCAGGATCTGCCAAAATCCTAATAATATAAGAAAGTTAAAAAAATATGTGTACGCGGAGGGTTGAGTGTAAACGCCAATATCTAGTTTTTGCCCCGGTTGGAATAAAATGTCGATCCGGGCTTATTTCCGCCGATGAGGTTAGTCCGCCACTGCGGGCATCTCTGGCTAGTGTAGAACCGTCGTAACCATTACACGGACCTATAATAACGACTTGTGGCAAGTCTGCAGTGAATATCCCGCTTACTCGGTAGATCCAGGTCCAAAATTTATTATTTTATTCTTTTTTTAATCACGGTCTTAAAAGAATAACTGCCATTTTGATATGTAATAATATTGTATAAGTGTAGTTCTGCTAGATCACAGTAAACCAATGTTATTGCTACTATAGTACCTAGCTAGTTATACGATGGACTTTACTGTAAAATTTGGCGTTCGAAAACGACACATTTTGGAATATTTATATGAATAATATGAAAATGGTCTCCATATTTATAAATAATCATTTCTTTAGCTAGGATCTCCCATAGTCATAATTCATAGTGATTGCTTTAAAAATATATTTATTATCAAAAATATCTTATTTATCACTTAATACAAATATTTCAGTCGTCTTCGCTCAAGCCGTATCTTAATTTTTTTATCGACATTAAGCCAACATTATTAGGTATTGATAAGAAACAACGCACACCCATCGAAGTTTTGAACGCGTGTTTAAAGAATTATCGGTGGATTTTGAATGTTAACAATTTAAATCTTAAGCTTTAATATTTATATTAAAATTTCTATTCTTCGATACTTCGGCGAAGAAAAGTTGCAAACACTATTTAGCTAACGACTCCATTTTTTTTGTATCCTACAGGAGCCTAGGTTTACGATGTTTACGATCTTTCTGCCCCGAGGTAACTGTCGATATACGGTCGGTTTCTGAATTGAGAAAAGTACAGAATCTCAACTGTTTATTTTCAATAACTTGAGTCTTTTACTTTTGCCATGGGAAAAAGTCCTAGTTTTTATGAAACTGCTATAAACTTATCATTTAAATAAAACTAACGTTTAAGTACAGTTTGAGACGTGCTTAACTTTAAATACTCAATTCAGAAACCGGGTGATAGTCTTATATAAACTTGTATAATCTCATGAAATCATATATCATAATGATCTCGACCATCCATCCTTTAAATTTAGTCTCCTTCTTGTAAAAAGTTTATTCGGAAATGTCGTTGTACAGCTGTCATATCAAGTTGCTATACACCACGAAACATTCGGTCATCAGAAATATCAAGAAGTTTCTGTTTATACTGGTAGTTAGGATTTTGAACCTTTACCTATGGATTGTAAAGTTTATATTTCAATGTCCAATTTCCATAGTTAAGCATTGTGACAGCTCTGATATACATGAATGATGAAGAAGTCTCTGTTTCTATTTGGCATGGAATATTATTTTTTTTATTACTTCTTTAAAATGTGTAATCATTAATCGCCTAAGGCACACACAATGTAATACTTATCATAACCCAAAAATAATTGTACCTACTACGTTTCAAGTTGTTTTGTGATTGTTCTTATATGATCTGTATTTTACTTGTCTTGAGAGTTGCTCCAAAGTTAGCAATTATAAAACTAGGACTAAATTTAATGCCAGGTTTAAACCATTACCTGAACAAATTAAGGGAACAAGTTTCAATTTGACGTTTTCTCTTCTGTCATTGTAAATTTGCTTTAAGTGGCCAACAGTTTAAACCAATATGTCAAATTTACTCAATTGAATTCGAACTCTATTGCAGATAGAGTTCAATCATGCATTAAGGTTTTTAAATCAAGTGCAGAAATTTGACAGTTTTGTATAGCCTGCCGTGCTGTTGACCGTACATTACTAACTATAGTTCTCGTTATTATATTATATTTGAATTTCCATTTACAATGCTATACTGGAAAATATACTCAATAAAAACTACTTAAAAGAATATTTCCAAAAAGTCATATAATAGGGTTTATACATACATACAAAACTAAAATAATCGTTATTATAAATATAAAAGAGTATCAACTTCTTTGATACACACGACAAAACTTTCTTATGTAGCTTGAGTTATGGCTTAGTTACACTGGTCGATGACACCGCGTGCTGCGTGAGAGCAATTTCTGTTCCCCGTTTTCATTGGTCACTTATTGTTTTATTGACCAATGAGATAAACGCGCATAGGTCGTTCGCTTTTCGTGTGCTGACTCTATCGACCAATGCAACTGAGCCATTAAGCGCTTGGACCCTGCGGATGATGTCATCGGGTTCCATCTTTCAATTTATGTTTAAAACTAATATTAAACAGAATCTGTTTGGTATTTCTTACATTCATTCCATTAGCTTGAATGAGTACGTGAAAATCGTGAAGTCTTTTTCAGTGTTATCATAAGTCAATTCTCATTGCGATATTTGTGATGTTAAATGTTTTAATATATTGGAATCTAGGTGAAGGTGCTTTTCGTTTAATGTGTTTAATATTTATGGGAATATATTAAATGTAGTTTTCTTACAAATTTTATAGACTATTTAAATCAATAAATTAAATAATTAAATTTCTCGTTTTATTTCGATGATATATTCTTTTGACGGTTTTGTTCAACACTCAGTAGCATTAGCAAATAAAGACTGGCTGGCGAGTGCGCGTATTTGGGGTTGGGTTTTGTTCGTTGTGATCATGCATATTTCTGTTGTTTTAGATTGTTATAGTTCAGTTTTGTTGTTATTTGTTATTATTTTAAGTAAACCTAAATCAGATTTACTTATTGTGGAAATCAAAAAGCATTGGCAAATAAATAGAATTTTCTCATTTTGTCACTACTTTGCACAATGATTTAAAAAATCATTCTCTGGTTTTCGTACTTGCGTCACTTTTTTGCCTTTTCATACCTCAATATTAACATATAAATAGGGTTTCTTCTAAAATTCTTTTACAAAATAATAACATGGGATTTATAAATTATTAAGAACCTTAATAATTTTCCATTAATAACCTCAATAATTTATCTATTGCATTTTGTGCTGTCTGTACTTTATATTTTCAAAGACTAGCGAGACTGTAATTAGAAATTAAGCATTCACATATAGGTTAGACCGACTGAATTGGTGAATTGATACAAAATAAGAAATCAATTGAAATTTTTATCAACTATTTTGACCTGATTTACCATTTATATAATTCATTAATGATGTTAATTTTCTCATTCTTTTTAAATACATACTGCACTTGTTTACTCTTTCTTTCTATACTTTTTTTTATCGCTTTCAGCACTAAAATGATAATGATATCCATATTACTAGTATAATATAATAACTGTCCCCATACAAAACTTTTTGGTAAATCACTGCTTTAATGATCCTAACTTTCCATTATCATTTGCAAAATTAAGATGTTACAGCAAAATATTTTGAATAATTTGCTATAGATTTTGAAATTAGACAACCTACCTAACCTACAGTCGACAGATTACAGATGGCATTTCGTTTATTTCCTAATAGCTTTCAGTTATATTTGCGTTTAACGTGAAGTTCGTATCTTTCAAATGTCTAATTGAAAGAGACTGCGAATTGTAAGTTTTATTGTTTCTTGATCATTGAAATCATCGTTCGTTCGAAAAGCGATTGCGACTTTTAAGAGTTACACATAATTCCATAAGTTCGACAATTAACCCTTTATTCAGTTAAACACAATTCAATTCGATATCATTTATTTCTAAGCATTTTTCATCCACTATAATAATCACTTTTACATGATGATTACAAAATTATATCGGCAAATGAATTACATACATGGCAAGGCCAAATTTATTCAATAATCATCTAACACTGGACCTAGAGAATCCAATTTACTTAAATTTATACAAAAAAGAAACCAAATTTCAATTTATTTAAATACAGTTTTTTTTTAATCATAAAAATATTAGATGTAAACAAAAATTATGGAATACATTCGTATCACAGGATCCTAATGCCAATTATATTTCAATAAGACCAACATAAATTTCGTATATTGGCATCAATACAGATTGAATTTGACATTTACAAGCATAAAGTGATCATTACACACAATAATTAAAATATTTTCTTTAAAAAAACATTCGTATCTATTTCTTTTTACTTTAATGGGAATCAACAAACATTTATAATATTCAACATCAAAGATTTAGTTGCACAATGTAAAGTACACAGAACTGCACATCGGGATAATTTGGAATTCTACCTTACATTAAAGTTTAGATAAAATTAAATAGAGTAATTCGAAGATTTGTATCTTTTCTTTACGCCTAAAAGTCACTAGAAATTTATTTCAGGTAGCAATAAGACTGATGAACTTATCTCATTTATATTCCGATTTTTACTTTTATGAATGCAGGAAAAGGTGAGCGTATACAACAATTATTAGTTATTTCAACTATATTTATTATCAGAAAAAAAATTTAAACGCAAATGAGATCTTAATTAATCATAAACATTATATTGTGTGTTTTGATCACTTCATTTACAAATGGAAAACTTTTAATACCAGTTTCGTACAGTACTAAAAAAAATTACACTACAAAATTCCAAAATAAACCAATTGTGACGAGTAATACCAAATCTATTTTTTGACTAGAAGGCTTACGCTAATACTTTTGACAATTTGAGAGATTCTTTTGACAATTTATAATACTTTTTTCCGAGAAGTTATTGGCCGACTTACTCTAAATGCACTGTTATATTGTTAGTTGTTGAAAAAATATAATAGCCTCGATATATTTGTACAGTAGGTACAGAGATACATTTTATATCAAAAAATAGTAAAAGTGCCGTTTGAAATTATTAGTTACTCAATCGCATTTTGAAAAGCTCTTCCTAAACTACGGGCAATGTTTAAGAGTTACACTTTGAATAAAATTTCATCGAAATTGCCCCATAGCCAAGTGATTAAGACATCTTTCTTTTTGTTGAAAGAATCGAATTCGATTCCCCTTGGGGTGGTAATATACTTTTTCATAGCCATGTTATTTAAACTACTAAAAATATATAGTCAAACATTGTTTACTTGAACAAAACAAAAATGTAAAACTACCTTTTTTTCAAGAAGTAAACATTGGCTTGTACCTCCCGGTACGCGAATTTATGCGATTTTCTTTTTTATTATTACATTCTGCTTAAGTTCAAATTGAAAAAAAAAACACTAGTGATTGTATCCACTAACAGTTTTATAACAATCATCATAAATCCATTTTTAACTATCTTATAAACGTCATATTTTCTCGTCTGCGATATGCGCGTGCTTAACTGCGATTGAGCAAATTTCAAAATCTTAAACGGCACAGAATTTAAAAAATCATTCTATTCGCATTACGTCCATAAAAAAAAATAATAAATTTCCCCAAAAAACGTGTCTCACAAATAACGAACAATCATAGCTGCGTATGTCCATCAACAGATCAATCTTATAATAGATTTTTATTTCTTAGAAAGTAACACAGATATACAACAATAAAATGTATAAATCAATACATAAAAGACAGCAAAATACTTACTAAATTATACAACCTTGCACACCTTCCTATGCGACGTGTTTATAGTAAATTTTACGTAATAATTTAGATTTCTAGTACTAAGATACAAAATTTTTATTTTATAGTAGGCTTTGCCTTATTATTGCACTAACAAACTTATTAAGGTAGTTTATTATTTTTATTTCACATACAAGTGATGTTTTGGAAGTAGCAAATTGCTGCTGTTAACATTTTTTATGTGTACAGTTTTGGTTCCGTTCGCAATAACTGTGACGTCATAAAGACAGTATCATTCTCGGATAAATATTATTATAAGGTAATGAAAAAATAATGAAAAGCATATTATAAAAAACGAACACGTGCTACATACGCCGCCCTCTTAGCCTGTCCCACTGGGCCATGGTCCATTTAGCCCTATTGTAAAAAAGTCCCTATCGACCAATAAGATCACAATGAATATAAAACAGAAAAGCCTTATACTAATCAGAGTCCTACTGATTAGTGAGGTATTTGTAATTTTGTAAGAAACTGTTTTCAATAGTACCTAATGTAAAAGTACCGCATTGTATATTGTTTTTATTGGAGGCCCTGGGCTTAAGCCCGTTAAGCCCTTAGGTAGATCCGCCCATGCTCAGCAGAGTTCTCGCTATCAATAATTATGAATTTTAATAATAATGCATTTAATAATTATCATAATTACTTTGCAAAGCTCTATTCTGTTGGTATATTTTACCTAAAAAGTTAAAAAGTAAATGGCGTCAGGGAAAAATCATATGTAAATGACACATGTCACGCATAACGACGAAAACTAATAACTTGCAACGTAACTAGCGCCATTAGCTTTTCAGATTAGCTCCCATTTTAATGCCTCACTTTTAATCTAGATTCAATTACCGGAAGTGGTAACATAAATGAACCAAAACTATACACATAACAATCATCTTATAATACTCTCATTATCATATCTATTCGTACGTACTGCACATTGATGTATAATGTATTCTTTAAAAAAAAAAATTTGTGCAGCGCCACCTACCGTAAAGAGAACTAAGAATCCGAATCGATTAACACCTGGTGGTTTTCATGAAAAATCCGCATTTTTTCAATTAACCGATATCTACTAATTTGAGAATCTCAAACATATTATTTCTTATGTATCTTATATACACACGGCTGCACGTCAGATTACCACAATAAGTCAAATAATTTCAGTTGAATTTAAATTCTACCCTCAACGCTTAAAATCAAATAAGCAATAAGGCTTAAAATCAAATGTAGAAATTTGACAGATTTGTATAGCTTGAAGTGAAGTTGACCGTACCTGTAAACTTTAATACATTTGGGTAGAATCCAACCAATTACGGATATTTTATCAATGTGCAGTACCCGCCGTTATTTAGCGATCCTAATTAAATACATCCACAGGCAACATCAGCTAAGACAAACATGAAAAATTGCAGTCTTCAATAAGATACTAACCATCCTATCGTACACGAGACAAGAAATGGCGATCGAAGTACATAAAACGCGCTCACTCATTCTAAGATTACCTTTATTCGGGAGACAGATTACAAAGCTCAATAAACGGAAGCATTGATCTTTTATAAATATTACAATTTTGTTTACATTCACAAATAAAGGCAACCTTATAACACCACTATTAACAGTATTGTCATTGAATAAATAAAAAAAAAAACTTATTCAATCACAATACCAAAACAATAATTCAACCGTGAATCCGCCTCGAACGCTGAGCTTCGGAATTTTTTCGTTACCTCCATCTTTTCTATCGCAAAGATTCTTTAGAACAGTGTTTCTCAACCAGTGGTCGGCAGACCCCTGGGGGCCTAAGAATATATGTATGGGAGACTCATTGAGACGACCCCAAACAAATAATTGGGAAAAGGGCAGATAAAACTGGTCTATATTAGTTTATTTAGTAAACAATTTCCGTATTATTTATTATTAAATTATCAGCGGACCAGAAAATGTTAGAAAACACTGTTTTAAAGCTATTAAACGATATGTCTCGCGATGGAAGAGACAAAGATATTGTAAAATACTAAAGTGTACGTTACAGTGAGGTGAGATCCAAGCCTTAATTATACTGATTTTCTTCCTATACATAAATAATATATACGTGTCAAGATTCCGCTCAGGCCTACCTATTACACCTCTATCACAGTGTAAATAATGCACTTACGACAGTAAAAATCAGAAACATATTACAACTAAGGCAAAACATTATAGGTATAGTTAAACAAGAATAAATCCTAATTAATATAATGTAACATAGAAAGCAATAAACTAGCATACTGGTCTCATAATGTACTGTAACAGTGATCAATAGAAAATTACAACTATTGTAAATTAAAAAAAAAAGTAAAACAACAAAACACCAACAAGAAATAAAGCGATTGAGAAAAGCAAACAGATTATTGCAGCTCGTAAACAATAATACATAAACCAAGTTTCGAAAATTTGTCATTTTGAAACGCATATTTGTAATTAATCTGATTTCACAATTGACAGTCATATGAAGCTGCCAAAAACGCGTGAACTGAGCTATTCATTTTTTATTCAATTAATGATAAAATATGTGATATTAAATCAGTCAGATTGAGAATAATCACACTAATAAAAATTGCCTAAAACTCGTCAGATGATTTGTATACAAACTAATCTTATTTTTAGCGTTTGTAGCATACCAATCTGAGAATTACCATTTTATTTTATATAAGATCCAAAAATTATTATAATTTACTTACAACCATAGACAAATAACCAATCATTCGAAGAACCAACAAAACAACATTACATTGCTTTTATGCACTGGTTGAGATATAAATATATACGACCGTAAATATGTGATGCTAGTAGACGTGTGGTGCTAGTTTCCACTCACTATCTTGCGGCTCTCCAAATCCTCCATATTATTTGAACTGTAACAGTTGATTAATTTATTAATTATATTACTAATAATATTCTTTATTGCACAAATATAGGACAGCTTGAACAGAAAAAGAATAGGATAGGAAGTCAGAGGAGTGAGGAGGGATATCAAGTTTCAGGTTACTAATTATATTACTAATTATCTGCACAAAATGCTTACTTCTTCTTCTTTTAAGTTGCAAAAACTAATCTGAAATTTGTTTATTCAACAATAACGTAATAGAAATCATATTATCAATAAAAAAATTAATGATAAAATCATTGTCTCTTTATGTATATTCAAGAAGACAAGTATAATACATATTCTAATAATTTTATGATTATGAAAAATCCTGCATCACTGGTAGTTGTAGTTTCTTTTGATTTTTACTATTCGCCTACCAAATCGAACTCAGGCATAAAATTCAATCACCAAGTAAATCATTTCAACAATAAAAAATATAATCACTAAATAAAACTACATTTCGTCTTATGTATATCAACTGGTACTGTCGACCAAGAAATGATTATTTTATTTTAGATCTACTTAACTTTTCAGAAGTTTAAGACAAGTCGTTAATATTCTTTAGATAAAGATTATCAATGTAAACAACTATATAACACCATAAAAACAAAAATACAAAGACAGACAGACACAGGGACACGTCTTTGCTAGCGGTACTAAGAGTGTTTGTTTGTTCCTGAGTTTTAAGAGAAGTATAGTAGCAATGTTAAAATCTTTAAAGATATAGTTTTGTAATTTATTCAACAATTTTACCGTAATTTGTCATCATTCTTCCATGAAGTGACTTGAATGTGTGGGGGAGGCAGATAGCTGCGTAGCGACTGCACCAACTGAATCGTGTCCAACAAAACTGATGACCAAATATTTTATAGAATTAATATCCAGATATTGAGTATTGAGCATAATTTTTTTGTTAATAAAACATATTCATATATACTTAAACATTACACCATTGTCATGTGGGCGTTTTTAAATTAGGTGTTTCTTGGTCAGTTGCACAGACGTCCATTAAGGTTTAAGGACACCTTTAAGCTCTAATGAATGTCAAATTTGTATGGGTAATGTCGCTTAAAACTAATTACATTTTTAATGGACGTTTGTGCAACTGGCTGTCTAACAACTACAGTGGTGTTAATAACCGCGCGACCCGCGAATTTCTCGGAACAACAATTTAGTAACAATAATGATAATTTAGTTGCAAGAAAAAAATATGTACAGATGTAATGTCAACGATGAACCCATAATATTGTTTTTTTTTTTATGATTAATGCCCGTTTTCACTAAACTTTGGAGTCGCCCAAATCTGCACACCTAAATATTTGAATATAGGAATTACTGCAGAAAAAATATAAATTCAATTTAGTCCGTCAGTCAGATGATAGAAAAATATTAGATGCGTATTTTTTTACTTCAATTTAACAACAAATAGCTTAAATAACAGGCATTAAAGTTGAGGAGTGGGAGTTCGCTACGTCACAGTTTTGTAGAAAATGTACGAAAGCGTGACGTCATGTGACATTTTAACTCAATGTATCGCCGTAATTAACTGATTACGAAAAAAAAATACATGTTTAATATTTTTCAACAATCAACCTGACGGACAAACAAAAATTAGTCGTCATCCCTATTGTGACAGATGAAAAAGGTTCACCGATGTCAAGAAACCACCTAACGACTTTAAGCAACGCTTATATACGCAAATAAGGACATGCATTCTTCTTCTTCTTTTTAATGTTTGGCGTTGCCCTTGTGGATTTCGCCAGAAGGACATACATTATGCGGCGCCTGGCGTTGGACATTTGCGTAATGTGACAAATACATTTACTCTTTGACCACAACAGATGTGTCAAGGAAGAAAATCAATTTAGTAAGTTGTCATCAAGGAGTTTCTTTAATAAAATAAGGATATATTTATATACCTTATAACTGATATAGATGGGCTAGTAGAGTGTCACTTAGGGACAGAATACACAACGAATACATACTAGGAAGCTTAAAAGTTGGACATACAAACAACAAAATATATAAAGCGAAATTCAGATAGTATGGTCACATGATTAGAAGACCCGACAATGTGAGAAAATACCTTGCTACGGCTACAAAAAAAATAGAACGACCCCAGACGACCTGGTTGGCAAACATCCATAGGGACATTAAGCGCCACGGACTTAGAGGAGAAAATATCAGTCAGCGAACTACATAGCGCTGCATAATAAGGAACGCTGACCCCGTGTAGCAGGAAAAGGCGAGGGCAAAGATGAAGAATTTAATAAATAAAATAATAATTATTATTGAAGTATTAATATTAGTGTTATTGGAGCCATTTTCAATAATGTATATTATTATAATAGTACTTAAATCAAATTTATAGTATCAAGCATAATTCATAATCAATAATAGTAATTCTAATGGTAAATTTGAATAACATCACTGCATCAACAAAGATTCATGTCCACTTTTCATTCGTTGATTGACCTGTCACATGTTTCTTTTTAAGGTCGCGCCTATGCACCGTTAGTGATAATTTAAACTAGTTTTTGCTCAAAATTGAATAATATCTTAGCATTTTCTCATCTGGAGGCCAGGGAGATTAGTAATTTGTAATATATGTTTGAAGGTTATAACAGCTATCAAAACTAGAGATAATTGTGAAGCTACTTTAAAAATCAATTAAAAGCTTTATAAAATTAGACTTTTAAACATGGAAATAAATATTAATCTGATTGTTACCGTGCACTTTTTTACCTTAAAACGAATCAATATATTTCGTATTATATGAAACAAAACATAGCAAACCGTCATTGGGTCCGAATCGCATTGAGGCAGTGTAGCAAACGTACTAGTTGTTATCATACTATATAAAAATTATAAACCTCGCAATTTTTATCCTGGCAAGATTTAATTTCCTGGTATGAATTAAGTAAAAAATAAGTTACAATTTGAAATATAAGACATCACTAAACGCTTTAGTAAATGTTTAGGTCAAAATTAGACACTTTATTTTAATAATAACTTACTCTTCTGCAACTGCTCGCTCTGTTTGCCGTATGGCTTACACATAGCAGGGCGCACGCACGGCCGCATGCGCTGCAAGTTGCGTGCGAGTTCCGCGAACGCCCTCACCACGCGCTCCTGCCCGCCCCCCGAACCCGCTCCCGCTGCCGCGCCCGCTCCCGCCCCCGCGCCGCTCGTGGTCCCAGACCCCGTGCCCGCGCCCCCGCTACCCCGCTCGCTGTGACCAGTACTCCCGCCCCCACCTCCCGACAGAGATTCCAAACTTTCCAAGTTTGCTCTGTGTGATAAAATAATTAGGTACTGAATGCTACGTTTTCTTGTTTTCGGGAAAGCAATTTAATTAAGTTCAATGCGGTCAATAAATAAACATAAACAATATATTGTTACAATAACCTAATTTTACAATAAAATGTATTTTATTACTTAAGTATCGACCCAACTATAGAACTAAAAAAAACATAAAATAAACTGTTAAATCTGAACTGTTTGTGTTTTAATTTTCTTAAAATACTCTGCATATAGACATAATTTAACTTACAACTAACTTTAACTATAACTTATATAATATATAAACAAAGAGCTTCAAACTATTCCATTCAATTTAATTTAACAGAGTGCTACAAATATTTTACCAATTTCCTTATCTGTGAAAAATAATATTTGCTCTTTTATACATGCAAGGCGATTCACATCACAAAGTTTGATTCACTATACAGATCTAGTTACTTATATTTTTTGAAGAATAAGATAATTTTTCTGGTAGTACTTGACAGGTACTATCTATAACTCTACACTTAAATAATCTAGTAAAATTACAAAATTCTTTGGATATAAGAGTGGCTGGGCTGGGTTGCATACACTGTATCCTAGCCACAATGTGCTTTTACTGGTGAAATACTATGGTATTTTTTTTTATTTTCAATACCAGAGATTACAACCCTATTTATTTTTAAATCATATTTATATATACCTATCAATTGGAAATATTTTACTTACCTCAAGAAATCAGTCAGTTTGTGTTCATCTGTAAAATGATGCTTTGATTTAGTGTCGAGACCAGACTGCGTGGCGGAAGCGGAGCGCGGCTGAGAGTGGGCGTACTTGTCAAGCGAAGACTGGTGACCAAGCGACCTGTTTTGATGTTGCAGAAGCATCTGTTGGTGTTGGGAAAGCTTATCTTGACTGCGACGGTCACTTTTCTCATTAGTCAAATTACCTAAAACAGACATTTATTTGAAGCCCCAACACACTTATTGCACAATAAAGCTGTAAAAAAAATGTATAATGGAATTTTTTACAGCATGCATTAAGCACACTAATGGATTAGTTGTGTATGCAAGGTTAAATGTTTTTATAAGACATTTATCTGACAGATCAATGTAATAGATGGTTCTAAACTTCTAAACTGATGATTAGCATTGTAACTTAAAAAAATAAAAACCACTTCACAATTGTAATAGAGGCAACTTCTACTTGGTAACTCACTGAGAGCGGCGAGATGCGGTGCGATTGGGAGCTGGTAGTCTTGTGCCAGAGCTGTTCCTCGGAGTAAACGTTCCACAGCCTGGCTGTCCGATAAGTTTGATGCACCAGCATCTAATGAAATATCTTATAAATATTAAAAAATTTCATCTGCTTTGATGACACTATAAGTCTCCTTGATAAGATTTTGGAAAGGTGAAGAATATTACTCACAATTATTATTAAACTACAGTGGCCTTTATAATATAAATTATTACTCTTTCTCTTTAAACTATTAAGCTACAAAAGCTGTTAACGAGTTCTATAAACTGGTTTTAAAGGCCTGACTTCAAAAAAAGTTTATTGAACTTATTATATTTAATCAATTTTGCATTCACAATGCTATACTGAAATATATTATTAATGAAAAATGCATAAAAATCCACTTAGTCGGTGCCAGGGATAAAGTGGATTTTTTAAGGATTTTTATTAAGAATATTTATTGAACTTGTTAAAACTCAGAATTCTGAGAATCATCAAACTTTCCATTAATATCAAAACCTGTCTTTCTTTTATTTGTTAGCTGACTTTATAGTCAATAAGATTTATTAAAAATGACTTTAATCTTTGAACAAAGAAAAAATTCACATTTTAGTATTTTTAGTTACAAATGAGGTATGAACTTCATAATTTTGTACATGCAAAAAAGCAAAAAATACAGTTCCAATAAGTGTAATGGGACCATAAAATTACCTGGTATATATGTTGGTTGCTGTGACAGGTGCTGCTGTATCGTCTTCTGTGTCATTTCCAACTGGTTCTTATAGTAGCGACAGGCAGGGTTAGGGCAATTCTGCACTACCTCTATGATAAACTCTTTTTCCATTCCAAATTGTTCTCGGCCAATTGTATAAGATTCCACAACCTTTAAATAAATTGTAAACATACATTTTATTTAATAAAGAGACAAATGATCTATCTATCTTTTGGTAACTTAAAGTAATAATATTGAACATACAAACTTGGTAAAGTTCTATTTGGTATTACATGTTTAAAACTTACAGCTCTAACTGTGGCCTCAAGACCAAGATGTAATCCATGGGGTCCATTCATATGTTTTAACATTACTGCATTAGCAAAATGTTCATAGGGTAGAATAATTTTGCCATTCTCACGGAGTATCAGTCTTCCTTGTGTGTCTAAACCTACTCTTGAAGCCATCATTCTAAAATAAAAAAATTTAGAGTTGAAAAAAGCAAAACCTACATTTACACAAAACTATACATTATAGGTAGGTACCTATATTTTGAACAAATGTTATTCCTTAGAATTTAGTTTTTTTTATATAAAGCAGAGAACTCTTAAATGAGTAATTATGAAAAATAACTTACTGTAAATAAGCTGCACTTGGAAGCATAGAAGACTCCTTCAAATCACTGAAGCACTGTAGTAGTTCTATACTTGGGCTCCATCCTTTATTCTGTAAATAAAGCTGCAACAGCATGTACAATTTCTCAGTTACATATCCTTCGGCGCCGTGTGGCGTCGCCGAACTAGACGAACTAGTGGCACCACTTGATCCACCAGTGCTCTTTGCTAATACACTCTTCATAGTCTCTGCCAGATCCATCTTGTAGATGTCCAAATAGGTCCTCTTTTGGGAATCCTGAATCAAAATATGTACAGAGCGCTTTAAATGGAGATCGATAGCGAAACTGTGCACACCCGAATCGTCAGTAAAAAAAATAAAATAAGTTCTAACCAGAATGACAAATGTTTTAACTAACTACTACAAAACACTTTGATGGACTATCTAACAATTAATAAATACACACGAATCCATCCAAAATTCTAACAAGAAAAATCTGTTTCTACAGAATATTCAATGGAAGCTTCGTTGATTCTTCAGATTGACGTGACCACAGATGTGACGCTGTCAATTAATGCCATCATAGACTATACATAATAATGCCACAGACCAACAGGGAGTAGGGATGTTAATACGAGTAATTACATGTACTTTATCTATAAATTTTTTTCGAAACCAAATACTTTTAGTATATATACTTAAGAACCGAGTATCAAGTAGTATCATTAAGTAAGCATTTTTATCGGTGTTAGGTCACTCACTGAGGAGAGTAAAAAACTCGTGTGCATAAGGCTGTTTACTCTGAAGTAAGGTATCTAGAATCTGTCTCATCAAAAAGTCCCATAGGCTTGGTGTTCCTGTCGTGTGACGAAGCATTGTTTACCCCTACTAATTATATGTAGATATCTTAGACATTCTAATTGAAGCTCTTCTAATTTGGTAGTCGTCTGTTGTGCAGTGTGTGGTCTAGAGTTGTCTTGAAGTAGCAGTGGCGTAGAGCGATTGACCAGTGTCGGTTATTTAACAGCTAGTTTTTCCAGCATGGTTTGCAATTGCTGACAATAGACGTCTACCGTAATAGTCTAGCCAGATCTGAGAAAACTGTAATGAACGACACCGGCACTAGTCCAACAAACGCTTACAAGTAACTTTTTAGGGTCAATTTTCGCTTGGGACAGGATTTGGCTGGCATGCCAGGATACAACCATTGTGATGAGCGCTTCCAATTATCATACAGAATCCACTTTTCATCGCAAGTAATGATTCGATTTAAAAACCCTTAATTATTTCTGCCGGTTAAATAATATAACGCAGCAATCGAAGCCCGTTTGCCGGTTTGCTTCACTCAATTCGTGAGGTACCCACCTTTCAAGCTTTTTAATCTTTCCAATTTGCTTCAAGTGCAGCCTTTTGCCTGCAGCTCACTCGGACGTGATTTGCGATGGACCCGCTTCCATAATAGCTTACAATTATTTATTATTTACTTGGGTCTTCGGCCGTCCACGGGGCTTGTTCTGCAGAACGAAATTTCCAGAACGAAAACATTGGAACCAAAAACGCACTGTATTTTCTTTGGTGACACAACCGTTATACACATCATTAACCCTTCGAGCTGTTTGCGCAGCACAGGTAGAGTTTGGCAAGCGAAACGTGACACCACCTATTTTTTCCGTTTTCATATGGCAACAACATAGAACTGTCAGTTTGACACTACGTTAGACAATTCAAGAATATTGAATTTTGTTGTTTTTGCGAATTTGAACTTGTGTTTTTGGTTAAAAATTATGTCGAAGCCGATAAAAAGTTCATCGAGGAAACTTCTTTCCATCATGATTGACAAGTTTACTGAAGTGAAAACTGAATTAAATAAAAATTTCATGGAGAAATTACAACGATTAGATAAAGTTGTATCTTTTTTAGGTTAGTTTTGTATTATAATTTTGATACTTTCGTTTTAATTTTCTGTAATTAACTAAACAGATATTTTTTATAAAATATTGCTCTATTTCAGATAACTGTGATGGTGATATTCAAACAATAATGGAGGAGATAAATGCAATAAAAACTTTAGAAAAACAAGAAATGCTGAATTCGGAAACGCAGTACTTACAAAAAATTTCTTCAATGACAGGTCTCTTTTCTTGTTTTGATTTAAGATAGATTGATAGTATTCCTATAATATTTACATAGGTTTTTTATGATGTATTGGTTTTTATTGTTGACATCCAATGATGTCATAAGAATGTTTTGTTTAACAAGGAAATTCACAGAATTCATGAAACTAATCAAACCATGTAATTGTTATACATGCTAAATATGCACATAAACTTAACTAAATTAAACATAAATTGCATTCATAGTTGAATAGGTATTTAAATTATTTTGATGTATGTGTCTATCATTATTTGCTTTTAAATACATTTAACATATCTTTGTTTCAAAGTGTTTAATCTTTTATAGATGTAAGTATAAGGACACTAAGAAGGATAAAAAATGAAGCATTAATTAATAAAGGAAAATGGGACACTCCTGGGAAAAAACGACCTCATCAACCAACAGTGTCTGCTTTAGATAATTTTGATTTAAGTGCAATTCGGAATAAAGTAAATGAATTTTACTGTGTGAAAAAAATTGTTCTAACATTAAGAAGCCTTCACAATGAATTAAAAGATGCAATAGGATTCAGTGGTAGCCGTGAGACTTTACGAAAAATTATGCTTAAGAATGGATTTTCTTTTAAAAGCAATGAAAATGAACGTTCTATGCTTATAGAAAAATACCAGATTTCTGCATGGAGGCACAAGTATTTGAGAGAAATAAATATAAAACGAAACGAAGGAAAGCAAATTGTGTACCTTGATGAAACTTATGTACATCAGAATTATAAAGTTAAAAAGTCTTGGCAAGGACCTTCAACAACTGGTGTCACTACAAAGATATCCTCTGGAAAACGGCATATTGTTGTGCATGCTGGATCTGAGGAAGGTTTTGTGCCTGGTGCATTATTAGTGTTCAGTAGTAAATCCAAATCTGCTGATTATCATGATGATATGAACTCATCGAACTTTATGAAATGGGTCAGAGAAAAATTAATACCAAATTTAAGTAAGCCCAGTGTAATTGTTATGGATAATGCCAGCTACCATATAAAACAAATCAATAAACCGCCTATAATGTCTAATACCAAAGCAGATATCCGTAAATGGCTTGTAAATAATGGAATACATTTTGAGGAATATCAGACAAAGGCAGAGTTAATGTGTTTGGTTAATGATAAGAAAACATTGCCTGTATATGAAGCTGAAGAGATTTTAAAAGAACATAATCATGAACTTTTATTGCTGCCACCGTATCATTGTGACTTAAACCCAATAGAGATGGTTTGGAGTCAAGCAAAAAGAAAAATTGCAAGCAGAAACATTGGAATACCAGGAAAGGAAATGGAAAACTTAATAATAGAGTGTTTTAACTTAATTACCCCTAGTGACTGGAAGAAATACACTGATCATGTTTTAAATGTCGAAAATGATTACAAATTAAAAGATGGCATTGTTGAAAACGAACTTGAAAAATTTATTATATCTGTTGGTGCAGACAGTAGTGAAGAGAGTGACTCTGATGATTCCTTGTCATTGTTATCAGGTGTAGAATATTTAGAAACAGATTTTGACTATGAATCAGACTAAAGTATTTTTAGTCTGATTCATAGTCAAAATCTTATCTTAAATTTTCTATTGTGATTAACATGATGATTTTGTGACACCTGTATTATGTAATTTATCCATGGCACTTAATTGTAACAAAAATAAATGTTTTTTTTATTGTAATCTGGTGTTTATATTGACTAATTTAATTTGATAGATAGTGGTTCTGGATCAGAGCAAAAGGTTGTGATGAAAATCCCTTAGGAGACATGTATGTGTTATGAACACATTATAAATATAAGGGCCAGAAATCAAAATTGGCTAACATCACATTTATTAAAAAAATGTGGCCAGAGTCGCCCATATTCATTACAAAAAAACAAAGAAGTCGTTGCAAAAAAACACCCTTTTAATTAATGACAAATATGAATTTTTAATATTATAAGTGCTGTTAGCCAATAGGTATAACGAATGGGTTAAAAAAAAGATTCGATTTAGTCCGTCAGTCAGATAATAGAAAAATATTGGATACGTATTTTTTTTCGCTTTAATTTAACAACAAATGGCTTAAGAGGTACTATGCGACGACTTCAAATATGCTTTGCAACAATGTTACTTTAATACAGTTTATCGATACGAAATCAAGTGTCAAAATGGAGTCCAGTGGAGAATGCCGATATTGACATTTCGAAATTGCTCATCATTGATAGAGAATACGAAATAGTGATTTTGACACAATCAAAGTGTCTATTTTTTACGGTGATGACGATTCTTGGTTGTCAGTTGAGTTAGTGAATAGGCCTACTGATATGCTGTTAACTGTACAATTAAGAACAGTCACGCTTTAGTCAAATGTTCCAAAACAAATAATTTTAATTGATATCTAAATGTTAAGATTAAATATAATTAATAAAAGTATCAAAATTATTTTGCAGTACTACATTCAGTGTTTACTGCTTAAGAATTTTTGAAATTGCCGCCCTTTTCTTGTGACACGTTTCGCTTGCCAGACTCTACCACGGTGGAACTCGTACTCGTAAATAACACGATATTTCAAGTTTTCCATTTTTTATACTGGGTGACGTAAATAGGACAACCAGAAGAAAAAAAAATGCCGCCTAACGAAACACAAACACATGTGTAAATGACTGTATAAATTTGAATTTGGAATGCCCAACCAAGAAGAAATTTGTGATTAAAGTGGCCAGTACGACAAAACACCAATTTTATATGTAAGGACCTAATATTAGCAGGTTTTATGAAAACTGGTCCTTGAAATAAAAATAAAATTTTAGAAAGTTTATTTATTAAATATTAAACGTGACGTAAACATTTGTAAAAATACCATCAATTAAGCACTTGTAACAATATTAAAATAAATTCCTTATGGTAATAACAATGTCAAAGAATCTAAGAGACGACAGAAAATTGGGGTTAAGCCAGATCAAAGCGTTTCTACTGAAACTAAACCAGAAGAATCTAATAAAGAGAGTGATCAAGATATAAGTAGTTATATTGAATCTGAATAAGAAGATAATATTGATTTAATTCAAAAGGCTGATGATGAACGAATCGAATTGTATTGCGTACGCGTCAATGACGTTTATTTTTTTAGACATATTGGTACGCGTTAGACAACATTCGCAACTTGTAGAAAAGTTAGTTATAAGTACCTACTGATAATTTTCTATCAATACAAAAAAAATAAGAAAATGTTGAAATAAGAACGAAAAAATGAAATAAAACATGTGTATCTTTTGTGCCTATACTGAATCTAATCATAATAATAAAATAAAAAGCATCAAATTTTATGTAAAACAAAAAAAGGTGTACCTATATGGGTACAAAAAAATACGAGTAACGAAATACATTCGTGAGTACCGTTTCGTTACTCGGTACTAGATGGCGCACCCGTTACTCAGTAGCGAATACATACGATTTGTTACAGCTCTAGTGGCACCTCGGGGGTGTTTCCTGAGTCTTGGTCGCGAGAGGTCGTGCGCGCTCCGTTGCTCCTAACTTCGTCGAGCCCTACCTTACGTCCCGAAGTTCCTCGGACACTCGTCAGTGTCGCTCTCGTCGCCGCGAGTGACCCCCTCCAACAACCCAAGGATTACAGTGAATTCGCGATA